TGACTTCTTTTAAACTTACATATTTCGGTCCATCGTTTTCATATCTACAACCGATTACCTGCAAAGATTTGTTCGGCCATTCCGTTGATTCGATTTAAAAGTCGTAATTTTGAATTGCCAATTTAGATCGTTTACTTCTTGCGTTTGGTTTTTGTTGTCTTCTTCTGATTTTTTTGCAAACAAAAAAAGAGCTGAGTGATTTGTGTAATTAATCGCAATTCCATCCCATAAAGTGTATCAGTGCGCTGTTATCGCAAATAATGTGTAATAAATTCGCGTAAAACCTTGGCCATAGCATTGGCCAGAATAAGAGGCCGCGCGGCAATGTTGTTGTTGTTGTTGACATCGTCAACGGTTTGGTACACACAAATCAAATAAATACATTTCCATCTCAAGTATCAAGACACAATCAATTTAGTTCTTCAGGTGGGACTTTTTTTCTTCTTCATCGCCGTCGTCGTCGTCGTCTTATTCTTCTTTTTCATCTCGCTCGTTCAATGCACCAGCAATTATGAATGTATAAAATTAAATGCGGTGCAATAAAAAATGGCCAGAATAAAAATGCCATTAAATATGTGGCTTTTGTAAGATTCTAAGGCCAATTGCTTGTATCGGACCGCAGATGTAATGTTGTTCACGCTCATTTAAATTTATTATACGATGGTCCACAACAATAAATATTTTTTTCTTGTCCGCGTTGAGTGAGTGAGTGTGTGGAATGAGAAACATTCACTTATAACATTAAAAAGAATTGCCATTTCATCGAATGCGAAAATTTCATGGCGATAGAAAAAGTCGTGCTGTTGTTATTCGCCGTCGTCGTCGTCATCATCGTCATCGTCGCCGTCGTTTGAAAAGATGCAAATCTCTTTTTCGTTTTCTCTTCCTCCCTTTCTCTCTTTCAATCTTTGTGATATGTGCAAACCGACCCACGAAAATATACGTGGAAAGCAATTTAAGCGATAATGAATGCCACAAAATCTTGAAAAGATTGATTGAGTCGTGTAAAAAAGATCTTTTTTTCTCGCTTTGCGTTCTTTTTTTCTGTTGTTGTGTTCATATTCCCATTCTGATTCGAACTAACTCAGCGCCAAAACAGCGTCGACATAAAACAGATTAACGTATTCTCCGTGAAACGTTATTATAAATTCACTTGCATAAATTAATCTTCAAGTGTGTGTGTATGCTTTCGTGAACTTTCTTTATCAATTCGAACTCTGGCACAAACGTGAGGCATTCCGGAGCGCGAATGAATACCTTTTTTCTCTCTCGTTTGTGTGAAAAGTTATTTGGCTTATAGGCTATAAGTTATAGCATAGCTCACGAAGAGCGCGCGCAAACAGTTTATGCTATGCTTAGTTCGAGTTGTGATTTTTTTTTCCAACTCGCTCCTTCTCTACCTCTCTTTGCTCTCTCGATCGCTCGGATGTTTGCTGATTGGAAAACTAAAAGTGGTAGGTCAGTGAACCGGCTATGTCTTTTGTTCTATAACTCGCTTAGAGAAAAATCTTTTTATTCCAAAGACAAGTTCGTGTATTTTGATTCTGTTCAATCATTGGTGTGTTTTGAAAACAGCGCATACACGAAAAAAATAAACGAATATCGCCAATTTCGCGAAATGTCTGTTTTACACGCGAATTTATCGACATCACATGTTGTTGACTTCAATTAAAAATGCACTCGAATTCCGATCTAATAAGACAGAACGTTGTTTCCTCTAGATATACTGGATGCGCGAAAAGCAAACAGAATGTATCGATCGAGGCATCGTTGAAGCACAAACAGGCAAACGACGATGACGACGACCACGCTATTGTAAAACATTTCGGGATACAAATCTATCTAACTATCGTGTACCATCCTATTTACTACACTTTTCATTTTTGGGCTCAAACTATTTTTTGTGTGTGTTGTTTTTGCGCTGTTCGTTCGTTTTGCGTTCGAGATGATTGCAACATGCTATCGAAACCACTTATTCTTCTCGCAAACAAGCGTCAAGTTTTACGTTAAACATTTTTGACTCTATTTTTTTTCTCATCTCTTCTCTTGAGTTGTCTTGTTCTCGTTTTAAATACGTGTGTGCTCAGCCACTCTTCGAATGCTAAATTTCTATCTGTTTTCGATTAGTTTGTTGGTTGGCTTTACATGTGCGACAACGTTGTGCTGTATTCTCTCTCACTCTGTGGAAACGACGAGTGAAGAATTAAAAAAAAAACAGAGTCCGTCTTTTTTGTCCGTATTGAAATGTTCATTTTTTTATTTGTGTTCTCTTTTATTCTTCTCTTAATTCAATCGATTCAGTCAGTGGTTTGTTCGTTTTTTTTTCATTGTATTTCATTTCTTTCTTTCTACAATTTCATCGTGTTGTATGTTACGTACTGTAATTGTTTATTATTGTGCTATTGCATAAACTGCGATTGTATTGATCGATTCTCGAAGTTCGGAGGCATCGGAAAACCTTGTACTTGCCAACAGTTACAAAAATACTGTAGTTGTTGTTGGTATTTTACAATGGTCTCAAGTTCAAGCAACACACCAAACATCATTGAATAGAACAATAATCCAAACAATTCACACACAGCGCAAGAGAGAAAAAAACACCTCACTCGCTCGGTCGCGCGCGCTTGCGCTCTTCCAATGGAAATTGAATTGGACAAGAGCAAAAAAAAAACTAGCAGCAAACAACAACATTTTATTGAATCACAGCAAAACATCAACAACGGCAGCAAAAACATTTGGATCGTTCGTAAAGTATGGACATAACAAAAGACCAGCATAGATATTAATTGGAATATTTACTGCTTTTCAATGTATTTGTGTGTGTGTTTCTTTTTCAGCAAATGTTCCTTCTAAAATCGTTTTATAAATTCATTTCCTTTAGCGCGCACAAGAGGTAAATGGACTTTGGAGCCCATGCGAAAAAATATATATAAACTTTTTTCGATCAATTCGAAAAAAAATACGAAAAAAGGCGCACAGAAATTTCGTTTAATATTCATGACGGTTTGCTTGGGTCGCGATCGCTTCGGCCACAATTGGATTTGATTGAATGTTTGATAGCCTTAGAGGTTTTTCCACATGAAATATTAAGTCGCCCCATCAAAATGCATTTCGGTCGCCAAACCGCGATGTGCGCGCTCCTCTTCGGCCAAAGAGAATAATGGTCAAAGATAATTTGATTTATGGTTGCATTTGCAGGCAGCGCATGTGCACAGACTTTGTAAGTGCAAAAAGCCATAAATTTAATTTGAAAAAGAGTTGCATCACTCTTGCGCGATTCGCACACACACACACACACACATGTATTCCAAAAACTAAACTCGTCCCATTTGGTTCTTGTGAGAAGAAAGAGCGAGAGCGAATGAGATTGTGTGGTCAATAAATAATCTAAAACAACACACTGATCAACTTTAATGGCTAATGCAAGCGATACGAATCGTTTTGCGATTCTTGACGATGTGTACGGCATTTTCTAGATTGTTTTTCTAGGTGCCTCGATTCAATTTAATATGCAACGAACTGAGCCGATTTAAATTTTTTTCTATCGTTTTGCTGTTTGCTGTTGTTGTTGTTGTTTTTGTTATATGGCATGTTTTGGCATGTACACACAAACGAGTTGGCAAAAGCCATTCAATGTTCTATGTAATTTCCGATTTGGTTTATTATTACACAAACCATAAAATGGTATTATAAACAGATCGTTACAATGGGAAAAGCGTTTGCTCTTTTCTTGAATCGTAAAAGTTCTTGATTGGATCCAAATTACATGGTAGTGAACGAAGTGTGGTGTTAGTTTGTTGCTTTGGCATGTCCCTTGACTTGACGCATTTGAAAGAAAATGAACATGCATAGAGATGGTTGTGCATGCGCGCAAATTACACATACATTTTATTTGCATTTCACCAATCTTGATCCGCGAAGAAGGCGAATTAGATTTGAATGTCTTCGGGCCACAATAATTTCAATGTCTTTTGTGTGTGTGTGTGTCTGTGAGTGTCGTATGAAACGAAATTGTGATGAATTGTGATGATATGAAACTGTCATCGTAAAAGAAAATCACTAAAGTAATTAGCTTCATTATTTTCTTAATATATTCCGATGACCATGTCCAAATATTCGTCACGGTTGCTTTAAAACCGCTCCGCATTCTACTTTTCTTCTAATACCATCAATTTTGATGCGCATGAACTTTCACAGGAGAAAATTCATTTACATGTTCCGTTATTCAGTTCATTTTAATCGTAATTTTTAGTTGATAGACAACCACCGAGCACAACAGAAAAATTTCTCCATCGAAAAATTCTATTTATCGCATTTTGCGTATGATTCTTAACAAACCAATCATTTTCAAGAGATAGACGTTTACGTTCGATGTTTTCTAATTAATTTGATGAAATTCTCCAGTTTTTAATGTGTTTTTTTTTTCACACTGCTAACAGCCGAGATCGATTATTTTTGTGTGCCACGCGTACCGTTATACCCACAATATAGCATATAATATTTGCCGCATTACACGATTTACGATTGATGCACAATGTACCAATTTAATATTAACTTATTTTCTGAACCTATTTCGACCCATTTGCAAATCGTGGCATAACTGTATACCACACTACATTATAGAATTAATAGTATTATAAATTTTCAATAGTGTCGACGAGATCGCAAGCTTCTTTGGCTGAAGCGCGCGCCCGCGCGTTCACACACAAAAAACCCGATCGATGCAGCAGCCAAAGAAGCCACATTTTGATAATCAAACTATTTTTTTAACCTACACACACTTACTATACTATATGTATATTATTTTAACGAAACGTTAGTTAACCACACTCGATGTTCGTAACATTGAAGACAGGCAATTTATAGTTACGCTTTATTTCAAGATAGATTAGATTCGATTCTTTATAATACCATAAGAATATTTGTTTGTATCAATTAAGAGTGTAAGATGTGTTATTAATAAACCATTTAATTTCTTTTCTCTTTTTTAATATTTGCAGCGAAAATGAAAACATTTTTGCCTCTAGTCCTTTGGTCTGTGCTAACAGTTAATGTGGTAAGTTGTTTTGGTATAAATATATATTTTTTAAGTATCGCGCAATGTTTTATGTTATCATGAAATATGAAAGACAGGAAAATTGCATATTATGATCATATTGATTGTCATATGAAGTACCACTTAGAATGGTGTTCATCATAAATTATGAGCTCAAGCGATCTTGATACATACGTTCTCAACCAAAATCAATGTGTGTGTGTGCATAAAAAAGAATCGACAGGAAGAAGTGTCCATTAAAAAAAATAATAATTTCGAAAAAAATGTAGGAAGATGGCATGCAATGTGCCATGCATAAATTAACAGTTCCCTGACACAAAGACATTCCATATTTTGTGTCGGAAACCAGGTTCACAGACAATTCTCTTCGATTAGCCGGTTTCGAATGTGATAAAAAAAGAGAGCTCATTAGTATGCAATAAGTTATGTATAAAAAAAATTAAAAACATGCCAATAAAGAAACATATTCAAATGTTTGCCATTCATTCGTTTTCGCCATTGTTTCGATGACGCTTTCAATTAACAGTTACAACAAAGCGAAAATAATGACGAAGAAGTGCAAAAGCACACGATCTTTTTTTACTATTTAAAAGACTCAATGAATCAACCAGTCCATCAATGATCATCAACGATGATAAAATGCGGCTGGCGCGCGTACAAAAAAAACAAGAAACCGCTACTGAAATGACCATAAAATATATTTTGCATGTGTTGCATAACTCAAAATGAATTGCCGCGATATGTTGTTTTTATTTATTTTTTTTCGCAATGAATCAAAAAGGAACATCTTGTTGGTGTGTGTATGTGATTCAATCACTGAGCTTGTAAAATAATTCAATTTTAATTTTTGTTTTGCAAGTGGCACGATCTGGCATGCAGCACGATCGCCGTTGCATTTCTCTTTAATCTAACGTTTTCCGTTGCTTCAAGGAATTCGATAAAACTCTAAACGACAATTCAACGTGGAGTGAGTGTGTGTGTGCGTTTGTATGACATAAAAAATCTGTGTCATAAACATTAATGTCGCGCTCGCGCTCACTTACTCACATCTGTGATGGGCAACGTGATCAATTAAAGTGACTTTTGTCTTGCCTATATTATATTGATTTGATTTGACATTCGGATGGCATCATGATCGCGCGCCCATCATAAAGACATTATCGGCATATTCGTCTCATCGCCTCATTCATTCCTTTCTATTCCAATTTGATGTTCAATCAAAAACTCACTGTAAACAAATAATGTCAATTTCAAACGTGACATAATTGATAAATCCCGAAATCAAGGAGAAAAATGTCAACAGTTCACATTCAAATTAAATATCGTGTGTAATGAATGTCTGTGTGCTGTGCTGCGTAATCATTCGCTACAATGAAAATTAATCATGTTTTCCTACTAAATTATGAGAGTCTTCATTTAAAATACAAAGTGAAATATAATCCTAATCGATGGCTATTTATAAATATGATATGCTGCACGAATCAACCGCCATCGTTGTTGACGCGCATGCTATGTGAGATGTGTGTAGTTTTTGTTGTTTTTTTATTTCTTCTTGTTTGTTTTTTTAATTTGCCCACTTTGAAATGTCCGTCTTGGCATGTTCATTTATATTATTATTTTTTATTATAAATCGAATCGAGATCCCATATGCCGCATCGTCTATGATCTCATCAAACGAAGGCAAATGCTACCAGTTTGCTTTTGGGGAGCGTCTTCATATTTATCTCTTTCCCTCTCTCTCTCACTCTCATTGTGTGTGAATCACAAGAAAACCGCAACTCAAATACATTCCATTCTCGTCATTTCGACCTTGACCATCGACTTGATCGACGTAATTCTCTGCATGCCCTGCAAGTATCCGTTCTCTTTCGTTCTCACACATTTGCAGTGGCTCACGATATGTGTATACATTGTTTCATTCAACATGCATAAACAAGATTTGCTCTCATCTCTTTTGCAAAAAAAATTTCGCCTTTAGAAGATGAGCCATTTGTTTGCCGCATATGTGTATTTATCCTGTTGCATGGCTCTTAACCAATTTCAATATTATTATATTGTCTGTCCCTTTTTCGTATTTTGCTTGCAAAAAGAAACCAATCGACGAAGAATTTTCACAATATATAATAATAATAAAAAAAATAAGTCGAAACAACGTCTGCCGGCGGTTGACTATACTATACGCGCAACATTTGCACAAAACAAATTCTCCGGTGGATTTTTCTCTAAACGAATGAAATTTTTGAAATTTATTACTTTTCCGCGTCCAGTCGACATTACTAAAAATAAACTTCGGGATACAAAGGTCTCGAATGATTGGGCATCCGAGTTATTCGTGTTGGAAAAAGGATTAACGCGACGGGAGGGAGGCCAAAGGGTTAACAAACAAAACATGAAGACAGGATTTTAAAAATTGTGGAAAACATTCAGTGAACATGTGGCGTGGAATGTTTAATTGAATATTTCTCATTGCTACAATTGGCCACGTTTATTATTATCATCAAAAGCACTTAATATTTACGATTCGCTCACGATTTATCTTCCGCCAAATTGGCATGTGACATTCAATGTTCACGACTTTGTATTATTCAACTCGATACATCAAGTCGAATCATCGTCTTCTTCTTATTCTACATCGTTTTTGTTCCTTCTTCCATTCGTTCGTTTACTTCGCAATCTATCGCCAGAGGATGGATGAGCCATTTTCTTCGCTCATTTCTAATGCCTTACATCAGCATTATGCAATTTTGCATTGGAGAGGGCAATCATTACCATTATCGCTGTGAGTTCAAGTGTTATCGACGTGCAAACAAGGTCATTAAGTGTCATTATAGCAAGAAAAACCAAAACAATGCGTCCAAATGTTCATAAAAGCGCAATGTATTCGAACAATGACCGATTGTTTTAGATTTTATTCGGTTGTTCTTTTTTACCATGTGCACAAAGTGTGATAGAGAAGGAGATGGAAAGAGATAGAGCTAGAAGTAACCGAAGACAATAATAACCACAACAAATAAAAAACAGAAGATAAAGAAAAATAACTAGTAAATAAAAGGAAACTAAATCTTGAGTTTAAGGTATAATATTCGCGTATGTGCATACGAATGCACAATCGTATCGCGTATTATCTCTCTCTCTCTGTGTGTGTGTGTTTTTGTACGCTGGGAAACGACACCCGTGTGCATATCACAGACACAAAATGTGTGTGCATTCAACTTCAACGGTATTTTGTTGTGTTTTTTCTCTTCACTTCTTTCTGTTGCTCTCTTCTGAGTCTAATCTACTGTTTCTGTTTCAGTTGGCACTAGAAAAAGGCCCAAATAAGCGCACGAAGTAATATAATGATAATATTGTATAGAAGAAAAAAACGGTTGGTTCCGTTGTTCAAACAAACAGCACTTGCGGCTAGGAAAGCCATAGAGATAAACGATGCAATTGCAAAAAAGAAATGGTGAACAAGAACACATATACTCTCATATATTATATTGTGGATTTGCCAATAGATTTCATGTGTTCGATTTCGACTAAAAGCTTGTTTTCAATCATATCATATGGTTCGCCCAGCATGTACACGTCAATTTAACAATGTACCTGAATGGTATTGCATGTTTTTCTCTTTCGTCGGATGTATCGAACGATATTTGACGAAAACCAAGAGAAAAATCGAAAAAAAAACACATTTAAATATTTCGACTTTCGTATTTCTAACCATGAAATAAATTATTCCGTGTTCTCTGCGCTTTTTTCGCCAAATAGAATACAAACTGAAATTTCAATCAGCAGAAGCTCACGATGTAATTCTATATGCAAAAATGTGCACGAAATAAATGGCAATATTCAAAATCTGTAGCCTCGTGCACAACCAAATGATATTAATCTATGAAAATGGATCGTTTTTTTCCGCACCAAATGATGGTGAATATCAAACACAGAGAAGTTCTGCGTTTTTTTTTGGTTCAAAACATTGTAGAAATTAATGGATGCGCCTCATTCACTTCGATGAAATATTGTATTATTTCTGGCCTCTAACTTCTAATAAAATCCAACCAGATTTCAAAATAAAAGTAGAATGAGGAGGAGAGTAAAAAAAAAATCACAGCCAAGCAAAAATTATATTCTAATAGAAACGAATGGGGCGATTATAACGGCAATAGTGAGTGTCAAACGCACGTAATTCCAATCGTTCGGGTTCTTTCTATATCTTCTTCAATGCATGTCTTTTGCAACCGAAGAACTCATTTCTCGGTATCACAACGTGTTCGGTTCGATTCTTTTCTGGCTAACCAGTTATTTGAGACGAACAGTTAAGATCAACATTTTTTTATGCTCACCATTATCCGTGCATATCATTGCTATCCCACAAATGTTGGAAGTGCAACAATCAACTAAAGAGCAAACAGGCAAATGACTCAAACACACACAGATAGAGAGAAAGAGAGAGAGATCAACTTGAAGAGAAAAAATAATAAATAATTGGATTCTTTTCTTCTCATATCATCGTCACATCATGCAAATAAAATACTACGTAAGATTTTTAGCGTAAACACGAAAAAAAAAATTGTGAAAGAGAAAGAAAGAGAGGTATAAAGATTGCGCCCTAGAAAAGAACAAAGAAAACCAGATAGAAAAAGAAACCCACACACTGTTCATTGATGATAATTTTCAACGAAATGCACATTTTATAAATTGTGATTTTCAAAATGAATAATCTTATTCACGAATTATAGCGGTACATTTTCGATAACTACTTGCGATTACAGCATAGCGAAAAAAAACGCCACACATATATTGTAATGATGGAAGTTTAACCAGAATCACTAATATATTCCGGCATGATGATGTTTAAGCGTATGTAATATGCATACGATTCGTTCGAACGGGACTTCGAAAAAATCGAAACGGAAGTAAAACTATATTTCCATAGAACAAATTGATTCATTTCTTTGTTGCTACTGCTATTGCTAGAAAACATTCTTATTAGATGTGATGTATTTTAATGACTTCATTCAAATCATTATGATTATTATTATTTCACCAAATTACAAATCACACACTCTGTCATTATCATGATCAAATCATTGCGGCAATTTTTTTCATCAATTAAACTCAATTATGCTTTTTTTTAAATAATAAATATGTATATAACTGATTCAAATTGGTATCTTTCTTATTGCAATAAACAGGCACTGTCACAAAACAGAATAAGTAATACGAGATTAAAACGCGAAGTATTTTTTCTAAATTTGGAAGACGGCTATTTTGGTTGTCAAGTTAACGAATCAACAGATTATTTACAATTATTTGAATTATCGAAATTATGTGATGGCCATGCCGATTGTTTTATGTCATCCGATGAATTAGCGAAAGAGTTAAAGTGCACAAGTGAGTATGAACGAGACACCGAGTTCTATTTTCAAATCGATCTAAATTGGCTTTCCAACACACGATATATTCAAATCAAATGGTTTTTTTTCTATGTCATTTCTCTTGCTGTAATCATCTAGATGATTGTGAAAAAGATGGCACATCGTGTATAAATGGTGCGTGCTTGGACTCATTATGTCACTGTAACGACGGTTATGGGGGATGTAATTGTCAAGAGCAAGGTATGTTTTTTTGCTGTTGTTGTTGTTCTTACCTATTCTCTTTTTTCCCATGCATTATTAATCTATTAGACCACTTAGAATGCAATTTTTTATCATCATAAAGATGATTATGTGAACGACCCGATCAATTTTGTGTTTTTTTTTCGTTGTATCTCAACCATTCAACCATCATTATTATTATTTAATCATATACTTTCCCATAGATGAGAACGAGTGCAAAAATCGTCCATGTGATGTATTTGCCCATTGTACGAACACTTTAGGCAGTTTTATGTGTTCGTGCTTTCCCGGCTACAATGGCGATGGTTTTCACTGTGAAGGTAATTATTATTTTTATTTTATTATTTCTCGTGATTTGGTTGGTTCTGTTTTTCTTCTTCGAATTTGAATGTAACAAATTGCTTTTCGTTGGTTCAATGTTAATTTTGAAATGCTTGTTTAGATATTGACGAATGTCAAGATCCTAGTATAGCAGCGAGGTGTGTCCAAAACGCTGAATGCTGTAATTTGCCAGCGCATTTCGTGTGTAAATGTAAGCCTGGTTACGAAGGAGACGGCGAAGAACTTTGTACAGATATAAATGAGTGCCTGAATCCGGGCGCGTGCGGTTTTAATGCCGATTGTATCAACACGCCGGGCAATCATACGTGCGCCTGTAAAAATGGTTACGAAGGTAATCCATTCGATGGTTGTGTCGACATAAATGAATGTCTGCATCCGAATGCCTGTGGTCCTGGCGCCATTTGTATCAATTTGGATGGAAGTTTTCAATGCGAATGTCCTCAAGGATTTGAAGGTGATGCCCGATCGAATGGATGCCGTGATTTTGATGAATGCGCACGATTGCCATGCGGAAGAAATGCACAGTGTCGCAACAGTGAGGGAAGCTTTCAATGCATGTGTCCCGAAGGTTTTATTGGCGATCCAATGAACGAATGTCAAGGTAAGTTTACAAAAAAATGAACGTGTCAAATTGGAGGTTATTTTCATTTCGTCTTTTATTCTCTAATTCAAAATTTAATTTTTTTTCAATGACAGATATAAATGAATGTTTGGAGAACCCATGTGGTGCTAATGCTGTATGCACAAATTCACCTGGCAGTTTTGTGTGTTCATGCAAACAAGATTTTACTGGTAATCCATACAGAGGATGCACTGACATTGATGAATGTTCAGCATTGAAAAATCCATGTCCGTCCAGTGCAATTTGCGAAAATAAAAGCCCAGGCTTTGAATGTAAATGCCCGCAGGGCTTCCAGCCTCGACCTGATCCGAAAATCGCTTGTGAACAAGTCGATGTAAACATTTTGTGTCAAAGCAACTTCGACTGTACTACAAATGCTGAATGTATTGAAGGACAATGCTTTTGTCAAAATGGATTTGAACCGCAAGGTTCGGTGTGCGTTGACATTGATGAATGTCGAACAAATGCCAATATTTGCGGGGAACGATCGATTTGTATTAATACACCTGGCAATTTTCGTTGTGAATGCCCTGAGTAAGTTAATTTTGTCTCTTGTTTTCAATTTAAAAAAATTCAAATACCAAACAGAAATTGAAAATGCATTTGAAAACCTATGTTTATATTAAATGTTTCGTTTTAAATTATTGTAGCGGTATGGTTGGTTTTCCACCGAAGAAAGGCTGTAAAGCACCTTGTGAAGATGTAAAATGCAGCCCACATGCTTATTGCAAAGCGGACGGAACAGAAGCATATTGTGTTTGCGAAGAAGGATGGACATATAATCCAAATAATATTGCCGCTGGCTGCGTTGACATTAACGAATGTGATACAATCCATGGACCATCAGGACGTTGTGGTTTGAACGCAATTTGTACAAATACACCAGGAGATTTCAATTGCCAATGTCCGCCCGGCTTTTCTGGCAATGCTGCCATTCAGTGTGTTGGTATGTCAAACATTCTCTTTTCAAGCCAATATTTTGTAATATTTAAAGAAAATCGTCTCAATTCTCTTATATGTTCAGATATTGATGAATGTTCGAAACCAAATCGATGTGGTCAAGGTGCACTTTGTCTTAACCGGGCCGGATCATTTGAATGCGTTTGCCCCGAAAATTCAATTCCCGATCCAGATCCAAGCATTCGTTGTATAACAGTTGTAACGTGTCGATCAAATAACGATTGCCCTGGCAATGCCATTTGTGATGAACATCAACGTTGTTTGTGTCCCACACCGAATGTTGGAAATGATTGTCGACACCCATGCGAAAGTCTACCATGTGGTCCAAATACAAACTGCATGATTGTTAATCAAGAAGCAAAATGCTTGTGCGCACCCGGTTTTGTTGGTTCGGCCGATCGAATTGGTGGTTGTGTTGACGATGATGAATGCAAACATTCGCCAAGTGTGTGTCCACAAGGGTCACTTTGCATAAATACACCGGGCGGCTTCAATTGCCAATGCCCAAGCGGTATTCAAGGCGATCCATTCAAAGGTGAATGTGCACGAGCAAACATTCAAGTTTTAACATGCGACGAAGAGCATCCATGTGGAAAAGAGGAGAATTGCGTTTTTGATGCATTCCTCAGCAAAAATGTATGCGTATGCCGTCAAGGCTACACAAGAGATAACAGCACCGGAAAATGTCTTGATATCGATGAATGTTCCAATAGCTTACGACCAGCTTGTGGAATGAATTCATTGTGTAAGAACTTGCCGGGAAGCTTTGAGTAAGTAAATCCATTCCATTTTACGTTCGATTTATAATTAATCACATTTTATTTCCATACAACTATTTAGATGTTTCTGTCCACCAAACTTCTTTGGAAATCCATATGTTACTTGCGAAGAATGTACCAGCGCCGAATGTCAATGCAAAGCACCATATAAATTCGTTGGTGGAAATTGTATTTTAGCTGGATGTCAAGATGGTGGTCAATGTCCACCAGGAGCTGAATGCATCACAATCGCTGGAGGTGTTAGCTATTGCGCGTGTCCCAAAGGCTATCGAACACAATCCGATGGCAGTTGCGTTGATGTTGATGAATGCGTTGAGAATCAACATTTCTGCGGCTTTGGAGCCGAGTGCGTTAATCGTCCCGGTTCATATGAATGCTTGTGTCCACCTGGCTATGGAGGCGATCCATATCATGGCCACTGCTCAGCGCCACTAATACAATGCGCTTCAGACAGAGAGTGTGGCATAAATGAGAAATGCGTACAACCTGGAGAATGTATTTGCCCACCTCCATTCTTTTTGGATACCAGCGATGGAAACAAATGTAAAAATCCATGTGAAAGATATGCATGCGGTATCAATGCCAAATGCACACCAACAGATCCACCACAATGTATGTGCGAAGCTGGTTTCAAAGGTGATCCATTGCAAGGCTGTTTCGATGAAAATGGTGAGTGATTTTTCGAATTTGAAACTTTTTTTAATAGAAAAACTATTTTGGGACTTACAAATATTCAAACCATTTCAATTTTCATAGAATGTTCAACATACGGCAATCCTTGTGCCTATGGTGCACAATGCGAGAATCAAAAAGGTGGGTACACTTCAGTTTTTTTAATTCTTTTATTTGTTTCTTCATTTATGCAAGTACGTTTTCTTTTATTCATCAAATTAATTTTATAAATTACCTGTTATTTGCAAAAAGGTGGATATAAATGCGTGTGTCCAAAAGGAATGGCCGGCGATCCATACAAAGAAGGATGCATTGAAGGAAAAATTCCATCGACAAGTAAATGCCGTACGAACAATGATTGCGCTGATACTTTGGCTTGTGTGCAAGGAACTTGTATAAGTCCATGCAAGAGTTTACTTTGCGGACAAAATGCATATTGCGAACCAGAAAATCATGCAGCTTGGTGTCGATGCCGCATCGGTTTTGAAGAAAACGAAAGCGGCGAATGTGTTTCACGTGGGTTTCCAAAAAAGTTAGTAAAAATGGTAAAAATCCAATAATTTTCCCTTTTTTAGAATGTAACGAGTATTTTTGCGGTCAAGGAGCTGTTTGTATCGTAACACGTGACGGTCCAACGTGTAAATGTCCCCCCGGTTTGCTTGGAAATCCATTCCCAGGTGGTGTTTGTGTTACAGATCAATGTTCATCAAATCATCCATGTGCTGACAACCAAGTCTGTATTGGTGGTCGTTGCAAACATCGTTGTGAAAATGTTGTATGCGGTGTTGGAGCCACATGCGAACCATCGACCGGAAAATGTATTTGTGAACCAAACTTTGTGGGAAATCCAGACTATTTGTGTATGCCACGTAAGTATCTACAAAAAATGAGGATCAAATGAAGATTAGCAACTAATTCAATTTTTCTTTTTCAAAATAGCGATTACAACGCCAGTTTGTCAACCAGACTGTGGTATGTATTATACGAATATTATAATGTTATTTTTATGTCAACTAAATTCGGTTGATGATTTTTATTAAAATTATTTTGTGTCTTATTTCTAGGTCAAAATGCCCACTGTCGCTACGGACTCATTTCAAATGAATGTGTGTGCAATCCAAGCACCGTTGGAAATCCATATGAAATTTGTGGACCAGTTGAACGAAACACATGCGCAAACACAAAATGTGGCATTGGTGCTGAATGTAATCAAGCAAACGGTCGCATTGATTGTGTGTGTCCAATTGGTTTCACCGGAAATCCGTATGTTGAGTGTCGCGATTTAGACGAATGTTTAGAAAATCCATGTGGATCGAATTCGATTTGTATCAACACGGCCGGAAGCTATGATTGCAAATGTGCTCGTGGATTCTTTGGAAATCCATTTGCAATGTGTTCACCGATTGAGAGAGATTTCTATTGTGAAGATCCAGATCGCTGCACGTGCAGTAATACTGTCTCATGTCCAGCTGGTTATCGATGTGAAAACGGGCGCTGTTCGAATTTGTGCCAAGGTGTTTCGTGTGGCCCACGAGCTGCTTGTTCCCTCGGAAAATGCATATGCCCCTCAGGTTATATTGGTGATGCCAATGATTTGAACAAAGGTTGTTATTTGCGCGGTCAATGCGAAATCGATCAGGATTGTAAGGGCACCGAAATTTGCTTCCAATTTAGCCGCGGTGTTCGTAATTGTGTTGACGCCTGCAGTAAATTCTCATGCGGACCGAATGCATTGTGTATTTCAAGTAATCATCGATCAACGTGTATCTGTAACGAAGGTTATGCTGGCAATCCAAATGATTTCAACGCAGGATGTTTACGACTCAAAGACGATGTAGTTAGAGCAGATACTTGTCTAAATAATGTTGAATGTGGACCAGGTCAAATTTGTATCGTTGGTGCAGAAGGATATCGAGAATGTATAAATCCTTGCGCATCGGTTGCATGCGGTTTGAATGAAGAATGCCGATTAGATGCCAATTCAAATCCAGCCTGTCATTGCAAAGACACTTATGCATGGAATCCAACAAGTTCAATGTGCGTTAAACCATCAGTACCAGATTGTACATCGAATAATGACTGTCATCCGGTCGCTTCATGTCAACCCGATTCACTTGGCATTTTGAAGTGTACATCAATTTGTGATAAATTCCAATGTCCAGCCAATTCAGTTTGTGTTGCCACAAATCATCAAGGGTGAGTAGATGAACATTTTTTTAAAAAATTATTTCTAAAAAATCGTATTTTCTTTTAAAAAAAACAAGGTTTTTTCTTTCCAAAAAAATTCATAAAAAAAAAAATCATTCGAATTTCAGTGAATGTCAATGTTTACCGGGATACTTTGGCAATCCAAGAGATCGTAAAGGTTGTCGATTGGAAGAACGAAATCAATGCGCAACAAGCGCTGAATGCGCAGAAAATGAAAAATGTAAAAAGAACGAACGAAACGGAGCAATGGAATGTCGTCCAGTGTGTGAAGATGTAAATTGTGGACCACAAGCAATTTGCATTTCAAACAATCACATTGCCAAATGTCAGTGTCCAACGGGTCCATGGACTGGCGATCCATACAATATGACAGCCGGTTGTCAGAATGTTCCATGCGTTTACAATATCGATTGTCCACCAACTCAATTATGTAATCGTTTAACGCACACATGTTACAACGTTTGCGATGAATCATCATGCGGTGAAAATGCCATTTGTATTGCTGAAAATCAAAATGCAGTTTGTCAATGTCCGCCCGGTTATCGAGGCGATCCAATTCCAGAAGTTGGTTGTAAATTGGCCGATGCATGTTCACACTGTGCCGAATCGTCTGTTTGTGAAATTTCTCAAACTGGTCAAGCAATTTGTAAATGCCCTCAAGGGTATACCGGTTATCCTGAATCAACTGGCTGTTTCCCAATTGGCCAGTGTCGCAGTGAAACAGATTGCCCGAACAGCGCCAAATGTGTCAGCGGACGATGTGTAGATAAATGTCATGGTTTATGCGGTCCAAATATGATTTGTACGATCAAAAGTGGCGAAGCGGTTTGCGCGTGTCCAAGTCGATTTAAATTCATTTCTGGTTATGCCAAGGACGGTTGCGTCCGTGATGTGGCTGCTTGTTCAACAGACTATGATTGTGGCAGTGGTATTTGCAGTAATGGTCAATGTACGGTTGCCTGTCGTAATCAACAAGACTGTGCCGACGGTGAATACTGTGAAAATAATCGATGCATGGTCAAATGTTCGAGTCATAATCAGTGTCCAGATGGTCAAGCGTGTAAACAAGGTGTCTGTAACATTGGATGTCGAAGCAACAAAGACTGTAGTTCAAATTTGTCGTGCTACAATAATTTCTGTCAAAATCCATGCAGTAACAATATTTGCGGTGATAATGCATTGTGTAAAATTGAAAATCATGTGGCCAAATGCGAATGCCCGGCCGGATTTGAGGGTAATCCAACACCGGAACAAGGATGCGTTCGAGTTCCATCAACATGTATCTCATCGAGCCGTTGCCCCAATGGACACATGTGCATTGCAAATATTTGCCAAGTACCGTGCAGCGAATCGACTTCATGCGCCATCGGCGAAAGATGCGATAACAATGTATGCGCAAAAGTTTGCTACACAAATAACAATTGTTTGCCGGGTGAAATTTGTAACGAACGTGGAACATGTCAAGCAGGCTGTCAATCGGAAGCTGATTGTCCACCAACACAAGTTTGTGCTAATGGAAAATGTAAATGTGGTCGTGGTTTCATTGGAACACCGTTTGGATGCTCCGACATTGATGAATGTACCGAACAAGTTTGCCATCCAAGCGCAATTTGCGAAAATACACCCGGTTCATTTAAATGTATTTGTCCAGAACAAACGGTTGGCGATCCATATACAGCGCCGGGTTGCTTGCTGCCAAATCAATGCGGACGAAATGAAGACTGCGCCAAAAATTTGGCCTGTTTCGAAGGAAAATGCACAGAACCATGTGCAATTGCTGAATGTGGACGCAACGCTCTTTGTCAAGGTAGTGAACATAGAGCTTTCTGTCAATGCCCGCCGGGTTATCTTGGCGATCCAACAGATAAACTCAACGGCTGTTTCCGAGTTGAATGTGTCAGCAGCGATGATTGCAGTCAAAACAAATATTGTAATCCACAAATCAACAAATGTCAAAGTGAGTATTTTGTTTACTTTGTATTTCACAGACTTACATTATCAATATGTCAGTGTTTGCCGACGTTCAATGAAATTACATTTAAAAACAGATGCGTATATCAATAGATCATTGTTATCAGTGAAATAGAATGAAAACTAAATGAAGAAATATGACAAATTAAAGAAGAAAAATGGCACATTCTTGATAAAAAATCGAATTTTATTTTCGCCATAATTATCAACTCTCAATGGCCATTATCACAAAAAGTGATTTCGCATATAATCGATTGCACCTTTGTAAAGGGCACTTATTTGTTCTAATATACAGTTTGAAGATGAAAGTCCACTAAATTCACAATGCATAAACAGTGCCGTCAGAAAATTTGAGACCAAGCTCATTTTTTTCATACAATTTCATACAAATTGACGATATTTCGGAAATAGGTAGACCTATAATTTTTTGTACACTTATTATTTTATTTACGGAGAGTAAACTAGTGAAGTTTTACCAAAAAATATCTACGCGCTTAAAAAATATCCAAGGTTTGCACTTTCAAGCGTGGAAAATGACACATTTTGTATGAAAAATAATCTTTTTTCACACTTGAAAGTGCAAACATCGGATATTTTTAAACGCGTAGATATTTTTTGGTAAAACTTCACCAGTTTACTCTCCGTAAATAGAACAATAAGTGTGCAAAAAATTATGAGTCTAGCTCTTTCTGAAATATATTAAATATTGCTCCAAAAAATCGTCTATTTGTATGAAATTGTATGAAATTTTTTTGCATGGTCTCGAACTTTCTGACGGCACTGTATATAAGTATAGAAGTTTTCTCTGCTTTTCTAAGTAAGCTTAGAATTATTTAGAAATGTTTCGACTTTTACCTTACCTTATGGCTTGTATGTACGAAACATGAAAAAGTGGTGACTGAAAATGTCACCAATTAATTACATTAGAATACAAATCAGAAATTCGAACATATAAAGACACCATATTTCAATGTTCAACTATTTATTTTTGATTTATAATTTGCACTTGCTCTTTATGATTTAAGAACGTTTCATAAATCTAATCATTCTAAATACACTCAAGTATTTTAGATATTTTTAATTATAAACCCATCATGTTAATGTTATATGAAATCTCATTTCATTCTTAATAAACTACTTCGTCCTCGATACTATACGTCTCGACTGTAGGGTCTATTTTTTGTGTCGGTATAAAAGGAACGGGAAATACAGGGTCGTCAATGCTATTGCCTTTGCAGTTATAAAAAAATTCTTGAATATATAGATCTGTGCTTGCAGCAAAACTGATGTATTTCAATGTAGTTGAATCAAATTCATTCGGCTTGAATAAAAACACTGTGTTGTTATTAATAGTGATTTGAATGTAGCCATCTGCAAATGTGAATAATTTAAATGAAGACCAATTACAATCTATTTTCAATGCATTTCAATAGTTTTTGAGTTTTAAAAAAGTAAAAAA